ACATAGTACCACAGGCTAAACTGCAGAATTCAATAGACTGGGTCTGAACTGTTGTTGTTATTTGCCATCGAGTTGGACCCGACCCGTATCGACCCCTCCTTGGGTTTCCAAGGCAGTATCACTACGGAAGTAGATTGCCCAATCTTCCTTCCGAGGAGTGGCTGGTGGGTTTGAACCGCCAGCCTCTGGTTAGTAGTCAAATAAATGCCTTAGGCACTATGCTACCAGAGCTCCTAACCTTTTTATATGTGACTGTTAAATCTTTTGAGGGAATTTATTTTTGTATACAGTGTGAAGAGAAATGCTAAACAGATTCCTTGCCACCTTCAAGCTCCCAAAACCAATTTTCCTTGGAAACATTAATTTCCTAGCTAATAAAAAAATTACTGAATAATATTTTCTTTTCTGATTCATGATTCCTCTTTTATCATATATGTGATTCATACAGATAGAAAGAAAGAGCTATTTCTGGACCACCTAATCTGCTCTGTTAATCAATCTATACTTATGCTAATACTGGATTATTTTAATTACTGTTCTTTCATATCAGAAGAGAAAGAAAGTCCTTTCCCATTACTCTTTTCTCCTCAAAATTCTATTCCTTATATATTCAAATACTCAAAATTTTTCCACTGGCATTTAATTTAGGCAGAATTCTATTAAACAAATTAATTTAGTAAGAACTATTATTTTTATGATAGTCTTTTCATTCTCTTTTTGAATAGACCATTTTAGAATCTATTTATTAGGCAGCAAAATGCCTCCCAAAGGAAAGTAAAGAGTGACACCCAGGCCTTATATTACTTTGGTACTAGAAATGTCATATTAATTTATTTACTCATTAAATGAACTATGAAGAAATAAACAGAGAAAGGGATGCTAGCCCACAATGTATCTCTTTCAAATGACTTTTCAAATGTGGACTTGGGCCATTTCTTTTCTAAGAAATGTTTCTTCACCTGTGAAGTGGAAAGGATATCCATTCTGCTTGTTTGACAAGGCTGTGGGAGGTGAGAGGTACAAGTACGATGGAAAGCATGAGTGCTACTCAAACGTGGGAGATTGTTCTTTATACCATTGGCAGAGAGTGCTACCTTTGGTGAATAGTGGGCCAAACACTAAAAGATATAAAACTAGCCCTCAGGTGTCTTACTTGCCTTTTCCCAAGATAAAGAACCGCACGGTCAGGTTGACAAAGACCCAGGAGAATCCCAAGAATTGTACAAGATTATACATGAACAGGTATCCTTTCTTCATGCTTGCAAGAGCTGAAAAGCAAAGTGAGACAGTAAGCTGTTAACAGCAGTCATCCCAGCAGGAGAGGAATGTGTGGGACATAACTAGATAACTTCATCTTTCTTTCCTATTTGGGTGCCCTCAGCTCCCATACAAATACCTGACCCAAGTCTTCAACAGCTTGGGTTCCTGGACCTGTGGAAGCATGTTGTTGTTGTTGTGTGCCATTGACAGTGACCCCCCCCCCCTTCGGTTTCCAAGGCTTATCATTACAGAAGTAGATTGCCCAACCTTTCTTGTGAGGAGTGGCTGGTGGGTTTGAACCACCAGCCTTCTGGTTAGCAGTCAAGTGCCTTAGGCATTATGCTACCAGAGCTCCTCATAGAGACACAGGTATGAGAAAATTATGATGAACACTGCACTACAAAGTACGCTTTCACAGGCTTTTCCCTTTGCTGTCCTGTGGGCTAAGAATACATCCATAACAAACCCAAGAAGAAAAAAAGATGACTAACCACTTTAGGAGGCATTACAGAAGAGAAATAAAGCTATCCTCAGCTCCTGCTCTATTCATTTTAATATAATCTACAAAGAGTTAGAAACAATAATGAAAGAAAAATGAATTATGATATTTGATTATATTTTCATTCAACCAAGTATTAACTGAATACCCACAATTTGCAAGGTACTATGAGGGCCCTACTGGGATACAAAGATGGCTAAGACAATGCCACCCTTAAGGAGTCTACAATCTAAAAACTGTGATATAAGACGGAGAGGTACAGGAAACATGTTGTGAAAATTTCAAGGTGAGAAAATGGCATCATGCTGGAGAAGAAAGATCAGTTGAGTCTGCAGGGATAAAATGGTACCTAATTTTGGCTTTGATAGATGAGTAGGATAGGATATAATTAAAGAAGGAAATTTCAAGCTGAAAGGCAGGAAAAGAAGGGACATTAATTTTATTTGCAGCATAAAGGTTCATGAAGACTGCAGTGTAGTAAATTACTTAGTGTGGCTTTTCTACCCATAAGTCTTTGTAAACTCCAAGGTGGGAATTGCTATTAGCAACTGAGGAGATCCTGATTTTAAAGTCGCCCACCTGGGTTATTTCTGTTGGGCATGGCACAATACAATGTTCTGGGAGGTTCTCACTCTCTCTCACGTGCTTAGAGTTCTGATGCTGTGATTGGCTAGTTTGACCACCCTTCCGGGAGCAAAAGGAAGCCTCCTGGAGGCAGAACGCTCTCTCTGACTGCTGGTTGAGGAAGACGTGCTGCCGAAAGAGACACGCGCCCCTGAAAGAGACAGGCGTTGCTGGGAAAGAGACGCAAGAGACACGCATTGCTGAGTGAGACACCGAGGGACCAGTGCTGCTGGGAAAGAGACTGTGAGAGACTGTTGGCCGAGGGACGGTGGGCTGGGAGAGAGACTGAGCATTTTTCTTGAACTTGAGTTGTAGCTTGGTGCTTCCCTAATAAACCCCATAATCTGTGAGTTCTGTGTGGCCACTGCAGTGAATTATCGAACCCAGGAGAGAGGTGGTGGGTGCCTTGGGAGGAACGGTTGGTGAAAGGGCTGGAGGGAGGCAGCATGTCTGGCCTTGCAGTAATAGGCCTTGGGTTACTGCTGGTAATCCTGCCTTCCCCTTGTAGGGTTAGAGGAGGTCAGAACATGTGGCCTCCTTGCCGTTTTTGCAAAGACACAGCCAACTAAAGAGTTAACAGCTAGGAGTCAATCAAAGAAGGTATAAAGAGTTTAGACAATCATGGTTCAGTCAAAAGAAGTCAGGTAAAGGAAAGAATAGTTTTCAAGAGAAGAGCTATGAAGCTGATTTTGTTGCTACATATTTATTCCCATGCTACAGATACCCTGAATAAATACATGACTGATGTTTAAATAACCACATTTAATACTGTGGTCGATCAAAAGCAGCTTTATCCTAAGGCATTGGAAAAATGTCATAATTCCTGCAACATTTAACTAGTTAAAATTTTTTTCTTCCAAACTGCAAAACTGTATTCTATTTCCCCATCATAAAGAGCTTTCCTTCAATACACAGGGAAGAGGTCGCTATGGGAAGGAAGTAGGAGGAAAGCTGTTGCATTGTGGGAGACTACAATCAATGTCATGACACAAAGTGTATGTGAACTGCTGAATGGAAGATGAATTTGCTCTGTAAACTTTCACCCAAATCACAATAAAATTTAAAAAAAAAAAAGAAAAAGCTTCCTTCATCAGGGAACTTTATGAATTTAGACAAAACAATTATAGTTTTACCTAACATCTTTAAAATCCATTTATGAGAATTTTTACATATTTCTGAAGTGTATCCCTTTAAAACACCAAAAGATTAATTTAAATCTCAAGGTGGCTTTTGTTGTTGTTATTCTTCGCCTTCACTATCTTCTAATCTCTCTCCTCCTCTGCTTCTCTGAAAGAATAGTCCTCTAAATTAACGGCTATTCAAATCTTTTTTAAAAGCAATGAAAACCCTTTTCAAAAGAAATCTTATTCAGAACCCTAATACATAAAACACAAAGGCAGAGCTGCTCTGCTTGAAGTGGGCCGGCTTGCTTGACCTAGCCCCCAAAGCATCTCTGGGAACCCAGAGGGCACCATGGAAACCAGTGCTCTTAAACTTCCCCTTCCTTACTTACGGCCTGCCAAACAAGTGCCACTAAAACTTGGAAAAGTTCAATTTAGGGCAAATTCTGTTTCTTCGAGTTAGTTTTATATAGACCTGCATGGTCTTCCCACTAGAATGAAAGCTCCTAAGAGCACAGGTGCTATAATGGATTGATCTGGCTCCACACCTCAAGTGCCTACATTGATTCCACAAAGAATGAATTTAATAGACAGCTGATAAATTTAATCTGTTACCCAGAAGACAATTCAAAGTTTCTTGCTTTTAAGCGGTTGGACAGAGAAATGGAAATCGATGTTCATAAAGTTATTGAGTAACAGGACACCTTTAAGGTTGATAACCACACTTACCTATGCACACAGTTCTTAAGATCTCAGTTGAGAGAAAAACACCAGGCTGGAAGGAGTACAGCCCTGGACTCATGTAGTAAATACTTGACTGCCATTTGCCATTAGGCCAGTCAAGGACACTGAGGTTCTTCCATTCTACTATACTAACCATGGACCCCTTCATATCTGAAGGGCTGTCATGCTCCAAACAGAAGGGAAACATTAAAGGTAAGGCTTTTGATGTAGATATGCATAGCTTGAGCACTGGACATTAAAGATCTCCTTAATCAAACAATTAAACAGCTCACTGGGTGAAATCATTAGGTCTCCTGCCACATCGCAGGCATCAACCCCCCACCTCAATTTGTAACTATCACAGCAACAGTGGCAACTTACTTTCAGGGGAGCCTTCGTTTTCCATTCTGAGTTTATTTAGGCGTTCTTCTTCCTAGAATTCAGACAGAAGTTTTCCAAGAACACAAGTCAGAATTCCCAGAGGCTTGTAAAAGTTCACATGCTAAGTATATGAAACATTACCTCAGTCATATCAAATTAATTACCAACAGCGATAAGTCACGTTGATTGCATGTACCCTCAAAGCTACCTCCTCCAATTGTGTTTAGTATTTCAGTGGAAAAAATGCACCAAAAAATGTGCCAAATGTGCTCAGGTGCCAGAAAGACTGATTCCTCCTTACTGGGCAGCACTAACATCATAGGATGCCCATCCAATGCTCACAGAATTAAACCAATCGGGTGGCTTCTAAACTGTCACAGTCTTGGAATCTTAAAGCTGGACAGGATATCTAGCAGATTTGTCATAGTTGTAGAAACAAAACAGAAGTGTAGGCAGGAAACAAATAGACTGATATTTTATTTTTCATGACTTCTAGATTTTTTTTTTCCCCAAGACTTCTGGATTTTTAATATAATTTTTCCAAAGCTTCAACATCTGAACTCATATTTACCTTACTATAGATACAGCTCAATACAGAAATATTTATAAATATATGTATAAACGTGACATTTATTTCCTTGCTCTATCAGCTGAGAGGGCCTAGAACAAGGACACCCCAGTAGCAATGAACACAATTAGCACCCAGATCTGGTTTCCAATACCACTGTCCAATAAAAAGAACAAGGTTCCTTGGAGAAATGGCTAATTCTAGGGCTGAGGAAAGGAATATATAAGAAAGTGCCAGAAAGTAAGGAAGTGCCAGGGTGTAGAAAAGACCACAATAATGGGAGTACATCAAAGAGACACTGGTGCCAACAGGAGCCAACCAAAGAGCTCCTGATGGCCAAAGCTGGGACAATCTGAGCAACAAAATAAAAAATGTAATACTGGATCATAACTCAAAAGTATAAAATAAAATAAAATTACATCTCCAGGTCTTTACATGAATCTGTAACTCTGCCCATATTCTACTAAGCCTTAAGAGATATGTGAGGTGGCCCACATAACTTTGCCTCCTCATGATTTCTGTCTTCAATGGCTAGACCCTAGGGTCCTTACTGACCTTGGCTCTGAGCTCCATTTCTGCATCAGACTCGTCCAGCCAGCGATCAAAGTCAGGGGCCAAAAACAGTGGGCGCTTCTCCTGCTTGGTGAGTCTCTCCCACCACTGACTCACCTTCTTCTGTACAGTTATGTTTACTTGCCTCTGAGTCAATTTGTAGACAGGCTAGGAGGAAAAATGAGAGTGTGAGAATGTCCTACTCCATCCCCCACTACTTCCCCTGAACTGGCACCAAGCCAGTACAGCTCCACAGAGAAGCTACATGGATGCTTAGGCCCCCTCCTTCTCTATCTCTATGAGTCCTAAAGCAAAGAGAATGTGAAGATCAGGAGCTATTCAGGGAAGAAGTGGTAAGAATAGCAGTCTTTTTCTGACTCTCCCCAGTGAATGACAAAGGAGGAAGAGGACAGATAGCCCTGGTCAGCACAGAGGTGCTAAAGGCACAGGGAGGTGGCATCTTTTGACCTCTAACTACACAAGAGGAAGACAGAATCACTATCAGCAGCCCAAGGCCTGTTCCTATGAGGCCAGACACGCCACCACCCTCCAGCCTCTTACCAACCTTGACCGTCCCTCTCATGGCACCCAGCACCTCTTTTCTGAAGAATTTTCTTCAATAATTCGCTGCAGTGTCCACACAAAACCACAGATTATGGGGTTTATTAGGGAAGCAACAGGCTATGATTCAAGTTCAGGAATGCGCTCAGAATACAGTTCTTCAACCAGGACAGTCTCCCCTCTGCTGTGCCTTTAGACACACCTCTCTGGCCTTTGGCCTTTCACCCTGGCCTCTGCCCTGTGGGCCAGGTAAGCCTGCCACTCTATCCTATGCCTCTTGGCTCCACTACCACCTTCTCTCAGCCAGTCCTCTCTTCTCAGCCAGGTGTCCCTCTCAGCTAGGCGTCTCTCTCAACTGGGCATCACTCTGTCTCAGTTGGCAGTGAGAGATTTCCCTCTGCCTCTAGGAGGAATCATTTTAAGCCTGGCAGAGTGGCAAAACCAACCAGTCCCAACATCAGCATTCTACATACCTGAGAAAGAGCAAACTTTCCCAGATTACTTCATGCTGCTCTAACAGAAATATCCCAGGTGGATGACTTTAACAATCAAGAGCTTAAAAGCAACAACTCAGAGTAATCAGGTGGGAGTTACAAAGACTGTAGCTAGAAAAGCCATAGCATGTAATTCACTACACCACAGAGGGAACCAGCCCAGACCTCCTGCCAGGGCTACATTATTCAAAGCGCTACATCCAACCACCCTCTCAAGTGCACCCTCAGCTTCAAAGTTTTCCTCTCATGAAAGTGACCAAATTCAATAATCAATGGTACTTGCCAAAGGTGAACTCTTGTTTTAGAAAGGCCTGCAGCATGGCATCAGTTACCACCTTTCCACACGAATGAGTCCAGGGCATCTTACCAACTATATTCAAATTCTTGGAGCCTGTTCAAGTTAACTCCAGCTCACTATTCCTCTACATGGTCTCTTCTTCCCTCTGCCTCCAAAGCAAGCCCCATGACAGGTCTTTCTGCCTCTCATGCCACTGATGATTATTAATGCTTTCCCAAAACAACTGAGCCTCTTGCAGTGAAAGTTCACTAAGCTCAAACTCCCAAAACTAGGAGTGTAATTTTAGAAATTGAAGTTTACCATCTGCGGTGTAGTAAATTACTTAGTGTGGCTTTTCTACCCATAAGTCTTTGTAAACACCAAGGTGGGAATTGCTATTAGCAACTGAGGAGATCCTGATTTTAAAGTCGCCCACCTGGGTTATTTCTGTTGGGCATGGCACAATACAATGTTCTGGGAGGTTCCCACTCTCTCTCACGTGTTTAGAGTTCTGATGCTGTGATTGGCTAGTTTGACCACCCTTCCGGGCTCAAAAGGAGGCCTCCTAGAGGCAGAACTCTCTCTCTGACTGCTGGTGGAGGAAGACGTGCTGCTGAAAGAGACACGTGCTGCTAGGAAAGAGATGCAAGAGACACGCATTGCTGAGTGAGACACCGAGGGACCAGCACTGCTGGGAAAGAGACTGTGAGAGACTGTTGGCTGAGGGACATTGGGCTGGGAGAGAGACTGAGCGTTCTTCCTGAACTTGAATTGTAGCCTGGTGCTTCCCTAATAAACCCCATAATCTGTGAGTTCTGTGTGGCCACTGCAGTGAATTATCGAACCCAGGAGAGAGGTGGTGGGTGCTTTGGGAGGAACGGTTGGTGAAAGGGCTGGAGGGAGGCAGCATGTCTGGCCTTGAAGTAATAGGCCTTGGGTTACTGCTGGTAATCCTGTCTTCCTCTCGTGGGATTAGAGGAGGTCAGAACATGTGGCCTCCTTGTAGTTTTTGTACCATCTTTTTGGCTTCTTCCCCTTCTTGTTAGAGAAATTTCCTTGGGCCGTGAGGAAAGGGAAACCTCAATCATACTTCCAACATTCTTTCTAAAGACCAGCTGCTTCAACCCTTTATGATTATTTTTCTCTTTGCCCCTGTGGCAAAGTTACATAAAAGTAACTTCCCTGGAGCCTTCAGGTTATGTTAATGGCACTAGAATGATTTGGAAAAGGAAAGCAAAAATGGCTGCAGTATTTGAAGAATGTAACTGGTGTTACTGAATTGTATATGCAGAAATTGGTGGGATGACGTGTTTCGTTAAGCATATTTTCACAATAAAATTAAAAAAAAAAAAAAAAGTAACCCCTCAGCATGGGCTTCACCTATATTACATAACAGAGTTATTACATAACTCTGCTCTCTACTGATACCACACTCATCTGCCCTCACTAAACACCAGAGACTATCAGAGCTGAAGGAGACCTCATGGATGGAATCCAGTCTTTCATTCAACACTTGAGAAAACTGGAACCCAAAGAAGTGAACAGACTTGTTCAAGTTCACAACACCAGTAAATGGTAAAGCAGATTCAATTCAGGTTCTCTAACTCTTCCCATTCCTCAGCAGCTAAAACCTGGGCTCTGTTCCAAATAAAGGAACTATAGAATTCCCCTGTAGAAAGATTGCTATTCTCACCAGTTCTTGTTTTTGTTTTGTTTCATTTTCTATAAATTTTATTTATTTTGTTGTTGAGAATATATACAGCAAAACAGACATCAATTCAGCAGTTTCTACATGTATAATTTAGTGACATTGATTACATTCTTTGAGTTTCGCAAACATTCTCACCCAGCTTCACTGAGTTGTTCCTCCCTCATTAACATAAACTCAATACACCCTAAGGTTCCTATCTAATCTTTCGAGTTGCTAGGAGCTCTGGTGGCATAATACCTAAGGCATTTGACTGCTAACCAGAAGGCTGGCATTCAAACCCATCAGCCACTCCTCAGAAGGAAGATTAGGCAATCTACTTCCAGAGGTACCACCTTGGAAACCCAAGAAGGGGTCGCTATGAGTCAGATCATCTCGATGGCAGTGAGTTTGGGGGGTTTTTTTGGTATGCGAATTTGATGCCATATAGATAGTTTTTAAAAAAGCATAATGTTCAAAGCAGACCTTTATTCCTCTACTAGTTAAGCTAAACTATTGTTTGGTTTTAAGAAGACTTCAGAGGATATTTTTTATTTAAGTTTAAAGATTTTTTCAGGGTATTAGTTTCAGGGCTTCATCTACTGTCCATGGCTCTAGAAAGTCTAGAGTCCATGAGAATCTGAAATTCTGTTCAGCATTTCCCCTTCTTGATTAGGATTATTCTAAGGAATCTTTGATTAAAATGTTTAGTAAAGGTAGCCAGGCACCATCCAGTTCTTCCGATCTCATGGCATAAGAGGAAGCTGTTCATGGAGGCAATTAGCCACACATTCCATATCCTTCTCCTATTCCTGATCTGCTTCACCCTCTGTTGTTCCAGGTGAATAGAGACCAATCTTACCTTGAATGGACACTTACAAACTTTTAAGACCACAGGCACTACTCAGTGAACTAGGAGGTAGAACAAGGAGCTAGAAGGTAGTTTCTGAGATGGCTCAAGAAATCATGACCCTAAACCTCCAAACCAAGGAACCAAATCTCATGAGGTATTTGGGTGTACATAAGCAGCCTCAGCAGCTACTCTTTTTTTTTTTTTTTTTATTTTGTCATTGTTGTAAATATATCTGTCATACAGCTTTTGCCAATTCAACTTTTTACAGGTGTACAGCTGATTACAGCCATTACAATAATCGGCTGTGCAACCCTACCCTTAATCAATGCAGCTTCTCCATCACCATAAAACCCCCTACTTCCCCTCTCTCCCACCCATGGTAACCAGTAACAATCTTTAGTCTCCATAAATTTGCCTTTTCTGATCTTTTTATATAAGTGAGGTCATATGGTATTTGTCCTTTTGTGATTGATTTATTTCCCTTAGCATAATGTCTTCCAGCTCCATCCATACTGCAGCATATATCAAGACTTCACTTCTACTGGCTGAGTAGTATTCCACTGTATGTATGTACCACATTTTGTTTATCCATTCATCTGTTGATGGGCATTTAGGTTGTTTCTACCTTTTAGGTATTATGAATAGTGCTGCAATAAACACTGGTGTACAAGTCCCTTTTTGAGTCTCGACTTTCAAGTTTTTTGGGTATATACCTAAGAGTAGAATTGGGTCAACAGTTGTTGTTGTTGTTATGTGCCGTCGAGTCGGCCCCAACTCATAGCGACCCCTCCTTGGGTTTCCGAGGCAGTATCACTACGGAAGTAGGATTGCCCAACCTTCCTTCCGAGGAGTGGCTGGTGGGTTTGAACCGCCAGCCTTCTGGTTAGCAGTCAAGTGCCTTAGGCACTATGCTACCAGAGCTCCTTGGGTCAACAGTAGTTATACTTTTATGAGAAACCACCACACTGTTTTCCACACCGGCTACAGCATTCATTATGCATTCCCATCAGCAATAAATCAGGGTTCAAATTTCCCCACATCCTTGTCAACATTTTTTATTTTCTGTTTGTTTGTTTATTATCTTAGCCATCCTAGTGGGAGTGTAATGGTGTCTCACTGTAGTTTAGATTTGCATCTCTATGAAGGCTAATGACACTGAGCCTCTTTTCATGTGTTTGATCCTCTTAGTTTTTATCTTCTTTGTCACAACCCCTGTTCCCTCACTTTCCCAAACTACTAGCATTTATTTCCTAAAATAGAAATAGACATGAGAAAGGAAAGAACATACCTCTGGCTTCACAGGGTCTAAGAACTCCAGATGAAATTCATAGACATTGTCTCCTTTGGCACCATGTCCCTGAGCTACAAAGAAAAAAATGTAAGTTACTATGGACTTGAGCAGAGCAGTCAGAGCGGGCTCATCCGAAACCCTCGTTGGTACAGTTTTCCAGAAGTATGCAAATAGTAACAGGCCCTGCCAAAATGAGTGGGGGCTTGTGCGCGGAGTTCCTCAACAGTCAGATAAGCTAAGTCCTGGACAAAAGTCAGCCTCCAGATGTCCTTCTAACCAGTTCCAGAGTATTTACTTAATGTTCCAATGTGATCTTGATAACAGCCAAGACAAATACTAGGTAGGAGGAAGACTATAGGAAGCAAAGCCCAAAGTGCAACACAGACAGAAATTTAACACATATTTACTTTGGCTCTGAATTTAGAGCTGAGAAAAATCAAGTGGGTGTATTATCTTGATTGCAGTTAGTGAAGTAAAGTTG